TCCCCAGCTCAACCGATCCTCCCATCTCAGCCACCATAATAGCTGGGATTACAGGTGTGTTCCACCATGCCTGGCCAGGGTTTTTTTTTTTTTTTTTTTTTCTTCTGTATTTTTTGTGAAGATGGGGTTTCACCATGTTGCCCAGGCTGGTCTTGAATTCCTAGGCTGAAGCAATCCATCCACCTTGGCCTCCCAGTGCTGGGATTATAGGCATGAGCCACCGCACCTGGCCCCACACTTTTTTCATCCAGTTTACTGTTGATGGACATTTAGGATGATTCTGTGTCTTTGCTGTTGTGAATAGTGCTACAATGAACATACACATGCTTGCGTCCTGTATGAATTTTACTCTACAGTGTGAGATTGACTGTTCCTGCTCACTGGCCATTCACTCAGTGAATCATTTTAAATCTTTCCAAATCTAATGAGGAAATATTATGTTAGTTTTTATTTCATTGCTTATTAGGTATAGAGCAACTTTTTACATTTTTATTGTATTTTTATATCTGTTTTTTAAACCCTACTTGTAAGTTAATGTGTTTGTATTTCCTTATAAATTGGCCATTTTCAAATTGTTTCTATTTTTTACTGATTATAAGAGCCCTTTATATGAATTAGCTTTTCCTTGATGTTGCATTATTTTATTAATTTTTTTTTGAGACAGGGTCTTGTTCTGTCACCCAGGCTGGAGTGCAGTAGCACAACCACGACTCACCACAGCCTTGACCTCCTGGGCCCAAAGGATTCTCCTGCTTCAGCATCCCAAGTAGCTGGGCCTATAGGCATGCACCACCATGCCGGGCTAGTGTTTTTTATTTTTTATAGAGACAAAGTCCCTCTGTGTTGCCCAGGTTGGTCTTGAACTCTTAGGCTCAAACGATCCTCCTGTCTCAGCCTCCCAAAATGCTGGGATTACAGGAGTAATTCACCATGCCCAGACTGCACTATTTTTATATTTTTGACTTTGTTTTCAGTGTCTTCTTGTGCAGACTCATTAAAATGTTTTTGTTGCCACATTTACTGTCTTACAACTTTTGGATTTTACACGGTACCCTCCTCATTCTCAGATCATAAGATGATTCTTTCATGTTTTCTTCTGGAAATTTTGGGATGTATTTTTTATTTAAATTTATGTGGATTTTGGGGGCATAACATTGGAGAGAGGTTGAATTTTTTTTTTTCTAAGTAGATAGTACGGTTAAGCATTCTGCTGTAGGTATTTCTTTTTTTTTTCCTGATACAGAGTCTTGCTCTGTCACCCAGGCTGGAGTACAGTGGTATGATCTCAGCTCACTGCAACCTCTGCCTGCTGGGTTTAAGAGATTCTCATGTCTCAGCCTCCCAAGTAGCTAGGATTACAGGTGCCCACCACCACACCCGGCTAAGTTTTTTTGTATTTTTAGTAGAGACGGCATTTTGCCATGTTGGTCAGTCTGGTCTCGAACTCCTGACTTTAAGTGATCCACCCACCTCGGTCTCCCAGAGTGCTGAGATTACAGGCGTGAGCCACCACACCTGGCTGATATTTCTTTTATCTAAAATTTTGACCAGTATAATTTTTTCCTCCTTCTGTATATAAGCATAGAAAACTAAAATAATTCATATGTTTTTACTTGTCTTTAACTGATTGCCATACATTGCTCTGTGCCTAAGAACTGGAGGCTTTGCAGGACTTGGGGAGGCCGAGGCGGGTGAATCACCTGAGGTCAGGAGTTAGAGACCAGCCTGGCCAAAATGATGAAACCCCGCCTCTACTAAAAATAAAAAAATTAGCTGGATGTGGTGGCACACACCTGTGATCCCAGATACTCAGGAGGCTGAGGCCGGAGAATCACTTGAATCCGGGAGGCAGAGGTTTCAGTGAGCAGAGATCACGCCGCTGCACTCCCACCTTGGCAACTCTGTAAAAAAAAAAAAAAAAAAAAAAGGAAGTTTTGAGTCAGGACATAATTTACTTCTGTAGGGTACATGTGCTGAATCTTGATTAGGTCATATGCAGATTTTTTTCTTAAAAATTACTGAATGCGTAAGCACAATCACAACCATAGGCTATCTTATTTGTGTTTGTGTTCTTTGTTTTTATTACCTTATTTCTTTTTCTGTCAAAATTGTTTTCTGCAAAGAGCAAAATCATATGCTTTTATAACCCCTTCCTCCAGTGACAAGCAATACAGAATACAAAATCAGATTTTATGATGGGGCCAGGCTTGGTGGCTCACGCCTGTAATCCCAGCACTTTGGGGGGCTGAGGCAGGCGGATCACTTGAGGTCAGGAGTTCAAGACCAACCTGGCCAACATGGTGAAACCCATCTCTACAAAAATACAAAAATTAGCCTGGCATGATGGCGGGTGCCGGTAATCCCAGCTACTTGGGAGGCTGAGGCAGGCAAATCGCTTGAACCTTGGAGGTGGAGGCTTCAGTGAGCCGAGATTGCGCCATTTTACTCCAGCTTGGATGACAGAGGGAGACTCCATCTCAAAAAAAAAAAAAAAAAGATTTTATGATAGGATGTCTCCCATCGCTATTAAGTATTCCCCAGACTTAATGTTGCTTAAATTTGGGGGAGTTTTTTTTAAGGACTTCATTTCAGGGCAGGTAGTTTAAGTATGAAATCTGTAGTGTGGCAACAATGGTCTTCAAAGCAGTTGTCTTTAACAGGGAAATTGTGATCATCATTAATGACAGTAGCAGCCAAGTTGTTTCCAGGCCCATTAACCACCATGAGAACCACAAGAACTTGGTTGTTAATAGACAACTGATGAAGTCAAACATGGAACAATTTCAACCAATTGTCAGGCTTGCTTAACACAGAGACTTAAACATGCCCCAGACGGGTGTATTTGTAACCCAGTACCAAAACAGAGCTCTTTAACAAGCATTTATTGAGTACGTCCTAGGTGAAAGGAAATGGAGCATACAACTGTGAAGTTGTTTTACCCCTTGCATTTGTTTTTTTAGGAGGTGTATGTATCTGTGATGCTTTATTCACACTCTCACTCTGTCTTTTTTACGCATTTATTTCCGAATGACTCACTAGGATTAGAGATACAGTTTGATTCTATATTTTTCGATAAACACAGAGAAGCTAACTTAATGGCAGGGTACTTAACATGAGACACTGGTCATTTCATAAGCAAGCTAACGAACTGAATCAGCCACCATAGTCCTTCAGTCAAGTTTTGATGGTTTTGAACATTTGTCACGTTTTGGATTTCAATTCAAGGTGGCAATAATGCACCTATTTTGATTTTTTCTGCCTAACTCTAATTATGTCCTTTGCTATCTGAGGCATACTTTCCAAATGAGAAATATATATCTGCATTTCCAGAACAAAGTTAGGAAAGAGGAAGATGTGGTATGACTCTGTTCTTTTTTGTGTGTTGTAGATATGCAAAGCCTAGAGAAGCTATTGAAAGATGCCATTGTTTATGGTCAGCCTCGGACACGAAGGCCCTGGAAGAAAATTCTCATCCTTGTGGAAGGAATATATAGGTAATCCTACTTTATTATTCTTACCTTTATGACTTGGCCCCATGAAGTCATAGAATTTTTTAACTGAAGGCAACATTAGTCTGTCCCCCTCTGGAAACTAAGGAGACAGTGTTTATAAATCGCTAAAATACCTGGAAACAGAGTCAACATTAGAACAGAAGTCTTTTTGTCTGGTTCACCATTATTCTTTCCATTATACTACATGGTCACCAAATTCCCTTTCTCTTTGGGTCTTTTATTTTTCTAGTTTGTAGAGGGAACGTATACGTAAGGGCAAGAATTGGAATATATATTTTAGTATGTCAAAACAAATTATACATCATTTAATTTTAATAAATATTTTGTTTTAGGCTGAGTGCAGTGTGTCACGCCTGTAATCCCAACACTTTGGGAGGCCAAAGTGGGAGGTCGCTTGAGGCCAGGAGTTTGAGACCAGCTTGGGCAACATAGTGAGAGCCTGTCTCTATAAAAAATAAATAAAAATTAAAAAGAAATATTTTATTTTGGTTAACATTTACAGCTTTTGCACGTATTTTTACCACCTAATTTTTTTTGTTCTTTTGTGTCATTCTCATTGCCTGTGCAATGTGATGCAAAGTCTCATGTTGCCTGTAATTACAAGCTTTAGAAGAATCTGCTGTGATCTTAATTCTTTTTGTTGTGAATTAAGATTGCTTGTGTTTGGTGCTTGTTTTTTGTTTTTTGGTGGTTTTGGTGGGCCTTTTTTTAAGATGGAATCTCGCTCTGTCGCCCAGGCTGGAGTGCAGTGGCATGATCTCGGCTCAATGTAACCTCTGTCTCCTGGATCTCCTGCCTCAGCCTCCCGAGTAGCTGGGATTATAGGTGTGCGCCACCATGCCCAGCTGATTTTTGTATTTTTAGTAGAGATGGGGTTTTGCTGTGTTGGCCAGGCTGGTCTCAAACTCCTGACCTCAAGTGATCTGCCTACCTCAGCCCCCACAAAGTGTTGGGATTACAGGTGTGAACCACTGTGCCCAGCCAGTGCTCGTTTTTAAAGTCCGGTTTTCTTTCCCCTAGTCTTTTGCCTCACCGTGGCTTCCTCTGCCTTTGTCAGTTTAAACCACAGATACAGTGGTCAGACCATTTAAAACCCAATAAACTCGGCCGGGCATGGTGGCTTATGCCTGTAACCCCCAGAACTTTGGGAGGCCAAGGCGGTGTATCACTTGAGGCTGGGAGTTTGAGACTAACCTGGGAAACATGGTGAAACCCTAACTCTATTAAAAATACAAACGTTAGCTGGACATGGTGGTGGCAGGCACCTGTAGTCCCAGCTACTTGGGAGGCTAAGGCACAGGAATCGCTTGAACCCAGGAGTCAGCGATTGTAGTAAGCTGAGATTACGCCACTGCACTCCAGCTTGGACAACGGAGCAAAACTCTGTCTCAAGAAAAAAAAAAAAAAAGCAGTAAACTCAATAATAACAAAATGCCAAACTCCTAATTTTGATTTAAAAAGTGTCAGTGTACATGCGTATATATATTTTTTTCATGTTTTGCCAGCATGGAGGGATCTATTGTTCGTCTTCCTGAAGTGATTGCCCTCAAGAAGAAGTACAAGGCATACTTGTATCTGGATGAGGCTCACAGCATTGGCGCCTTGGGCCCCACAGGCCGGGGTGTGGTGGACTACTTCGGCCTGGATCCTGAGGATGTGGATGTTATGATGGGAACATTCACAAAGAGTTTTGGTGCTTCTGGAGGATATATTGGAGGCAAGAAGGTAAACGAGCCGTGAGAATGAGCGATTAGAGATTAAATCACTGGCAACTAGATTTGGTACCTCAAGCCTAGCAGATGGGGCCCTGAACTGGGATGTCCCCAAATTTGCCTGTGGTTTAGGCTCTAATACCAGTGAGTGATTCTGATGTCTCGTCACTGAACTAAAGGCTGGTTCTGTTCATTGTTTGTTGTTTTCTTATTTGAGCTTCTTTCTAAGCTACATGCTGATCTGAGATCTAGAATACCCTCTTGTGTGAAAGAACACACAGTGGTGCTCCCTGCCCGCCCCAGCCTTCTGTTGGGTTTGCATTGTGCTCACAGTTTCAAAAACAGTGGGGTTGTCATGGGAGCGCATGGGAATAGCAGGTCACCTTGCTCTTGGATACAAACGTATCATGAGTGAACATGGAGACAGGAAGGAAAAAAGTTGTGCCAGCGGTGGGGTACTACAAACATTGTATTTTCAGTTTTTTAACAACGTAATTGCCTTTGCTGGGTCTTTGTAGTCAGAAAAAAATCATATGGTGAATTTTGATGTAGGTAAGAATCTGTGGTGTGGTGGAAGTGGTCAACCATAAGGACACAGGCCTGGGTCTGAATGTTTCTCTGCTTACTTTGTTAGACCTCAGGGAAAACATTTAACCTCCCAGTTTCCTTGTCAGTAAAATAGAAGTAAATATGCCTAGCTTGTAAGATTGTAGTAAGGGTTTAAAAAGTAATATATGTCCATGCTACAACGTGGGTGCACCTTAAAAATATTATGGTAAGTGAAAAAAGTTAGTCACAAAAAGTCACATACTGCATGTTTTAAAATATGTGATATCTAGAATAAGCATAGAAACAGAAAGTAGATTAGTAGTTGCCGGGGGCGGAGGGGATGGGGAAATGGAAAGTGAATGCTAATGGGTATGAGGTTTCCTTTCAGGGTTATGGAAATGTTCTAAAATTAGTAGTAAAAGTGGCACAACTCTGGATATACTAAAAACCACTGAATTGTACTTTAAAATGGTGAATTCTGTGGTGTGTGGCTTATATCTCAATGAAGCTGTTATTTTTGAACACTGCAGTGTTAGGGAAAAAATAATGTATGTATGTCAGGTGTTTGTATATGACACAGAGGAGGTGCTCATAAATGTTCTTAATTTTGCTTCAAAACTCAATATTGGGAGTCTTAAAGAATGTTTATGCTGGGCACAGTGGCTCACACCTGTAATCCCAGCACTTTGAGAAGCTGAAGTGGGAGGATTACTTGAGCCCAGGAGTTCAAGACCAGCCTAGGCAACATAGTGGGACTTCATCTCTACAAAAAAGTAAAAAAATTAGCTGGGTGTGGTGGCACATGCCTGTAGTCCCAAGTACAGGGTAGGCTGAGATGAGAGGATTGCTTGAGCCAGGGAGATCAAGGATGCAGCGAGCCGTGAGTATTTATACCACTGCATTCCAGTCTGGGCAACAGAAAAAGACCCTATTTCAGAAAAAAAGGTCATTCGTTTAATAATTGATTGTCTTTTAGAGAGAACTCATTTTCAGTGACTTTTAATCAGTTTTGATAGATTTTTTTTTTTTTTTTTTTTTTTTCAATTTTTCTCATACAGATTAACAAATGACAACAGAGTAGGGCAGTCTGGGCAACAGAAAAAGACCCTATTTCAGAAAAAAAGGTCATTCGTTTAATAATTGATTGTCTTTTAGAGAGAACTCATTTTCAGTGACTTTTAATCAGTTTTGATAGATTTTTTTTTTTTTTTTTTGAGACCAAGCCTGACTCCATTGCCAGGCCAGAGTTCAGTGGCGCAATCTTGGCTCACTGTAACCTCCACCTCCCGGGATCAAGGGATTCTCCGGCCTCAGCCTCCCAAGTAGCTGGGACTACAGGTGCGTGCCACCACGCCCAGCTAATTTTTTGTGTTTTTAGCAGAGACAGGGTTTCACCGCCGTGTTGGCCAGGGTGGTCTCAATCTCTTGACCTCGTGATCTGCCCGCCTCGGCCTTCCAAAGTGCTGGGATTACAGGCATGAGCCACACCGCCCGGCCAGGTTTGATAGATTTTTTTATCTCAAATTTTTCTTTTTGTTAATGAGACAAGGCTGACTTTGGAGAGTTTGTTGTTTTTTAGTAAACTTTGTGACTGTGAACCAAAGGATAGAAAAATAATACTCTGGGAGATCATTTAAGTACAATATATTTGTGCTTTTGGTTTTTTTAGTACAATTTTTAATGTTTTTGAGATAAAACTGTTTTATATCCAAATTTGTGTCTCCCTAATTTGTTCTGGTACATAAGCTTCTTGTACGTACATTTTAAAGATTTGGTGAAATTAAAAGATATCAGAGAATAGGGATATACAATTAATTTTTTTTTGAAATCCTTGTAAATGACAGTTTTACTTTATTCGGTGAGATGTCATTGGCATTTTAATCGAAGACCTTATACATTTCTATTTTATTTCACATTTGTATCATTTTGTACATTTCTGCATATCTGGAGGAAGTTGTAATGCTCTTAAAGTTGATGTTAGAGAACTGTTACTTAGGGTTGGAAGGATGGGCTTTACAGGCACAGAGAGCTGCAGATGACATTTTCTATGATACTTGGAATTAAATCATTATATGTAAAAAGCAATCCAAACACCAATCAGCAATCCAAACAAAGGCTGTTTAACTCAGCCTTGTTCATTTATTTTTAACTTTTTTTTTTTTTTTTAAGATGGAGCCTTACTCTGTCCCCCAGGCTGGAGTGCAATGGCGCCATCTCAGCTCACGGCAACCTCTGCCTCCTGGGTTCAAGTGATTTTCCTGCCTCAACCTCCTGAGTAGCTGGGATTATAGGTGCCCGCCTCCACGCACAGCTGATTTTTGTATTTTTAGTAGAGATGGGGTTTCACCATGTTGTTCAAGCCAGTCTTGAACTCCTGACCTCAGGAGATCCACCCACCTTGGCCTCCCAAAGTGCTGGAATTACAGGCATGAGCCACCATGCCCGGCCATATTTCTAACTTTAAATGATACATTCTCCAAATTTAGAAGGATTGTTTTAAAACTAGTATTTTTCCTATGTTGTTCCATGTTTAAAAAACAAAACCAAACCTAAGAACTTTGCCATGTTTCTGACCCAGTTGTTGCCAGCAGTATGCTTCGACCATGTTGGTTGACCTTGCATCTCAGATTAGTGTCCCTGTTCCAGTACCATTGAAACAAGGAGTCCTCTAGAACTTAGAAGGAAAGCACTGACATTGCCAGTGAATGCAAGAATTGTCTCTATTTATCTGCCTCTGTGAACTTCCCAGGAGCTGATAGACTACCTGCGCACACATTCTCATAGTGCAGTGTATGCCACGTCATTGTCACCTCCTGTAGTGGAGCAGATCATCACCTCCATGAAGTGCATCATGGGGCAGGATGGCACCAGCCTTGGTAAGTCTTTCTTTTCTTGAAACATTGCATAAGTCCACCTAGCGGCCAAACATGCTGTTTTTCTTGAGCTTTTTTCCTAAAATAAATAGTCAGGTTTACTGATAGGCAGAGCTGGCTGGTGTGTGGTTTCCGTGGACACTTTTTTTTTTTTTTTTGAGACCAAGTCTCGCTCTGTCGCCCAGGCTGGAGTGCAGCAGCGCGAGGATCTCGGCTCACTGCAAGCTCCGCCTCCTGGGTTCACGCTGTTCTGGCTCAGCCTCCCGAGTAGCTGGGACTACAGGCGCCCACCACCTCGCCTGGCTAATTTTTTGTATTTTTAGTAGAGATGGGGTTTCACTGTGTTAGCCAAGATGGTCTCGATCTCCTGACTTCATGATCTGCCCACCTCAGCCTCTCAAAGTGCTGGGATTACAGGCATGAGCCACCGCGCCTGGCCTCCATAGACACTTTTTTAGTGTGTTTGATACATATGCCATGAGAACGATCCTGGCTCACTTCCTGTGGAATTTTCTTGTTTATAGATGGGAGGCTTTACTCTTACTATCCTACATACCCTCTTAACTCAGAGGTAATATGCCTTTGGGGTTTTTCTTGAATTGCATAATTTTATGTGATGGTGTAATTCACTGTTAGTGATGTTTCATTAACAGCATGGTTTAGAGCTGCTGTTTTCATAAATTAGTATTCCTGATTTAATGCCTTTATAAAGAGTTTCTAATTTCATATACGGGAGATAATAAATGACATCCTGAATCTGTTTATTTTGTCTTTGATGGGATTTGTAGTCCCAACTAGATGCCTTGATTTAAACATACTACTGTGAACAATAAAGTGCAGTGTTCACTTTCTGACATTTGACTTTTATTCTGCAACACCAGAGGGCAGTATTGACTGCAGAACAGTGATACTAAAAGGGGAGCAACTGGGTGTCTGTTTTTACTTTAAAAAATATTTTCATTGCATGTATAAGACAATAATTTCACTTGTTGCTTTTTTAATGCTTATAAAGTCAGTTTGGCATTTGTAAAAGATTTCACATTATCAGCCATGAGCTCTCCACTCTACAGTTATGTAATACTTTATTGTAAGATTGATTTGGCTTGCATCGAATAAAGTGGCACATCTGATTTTGATTGGTCTAAGACTGTTTTCTTGGTTGGTTTTTTTTTTTTTTTTTTTTTTTTTTTTTTTTTTTTTTTTTTTTTTTTTTTTTTTTTTTTTTTTTTTTTTTTTTGGTTTTTTTTTTTTGGTTTTTGTTTTTGAGACAGAGTCTTGCTCTGTCTCCCGGGCTGGAGTATAGTGGTGCGATCTCAGCTCATGGCAACCTCCACTTCCCAGGTTCACATGATTCTCGTGTTTCAGCCTCCCGAGTAGCTGGGACCACAGGAGTCTGCCACCCCACCTGGCCTTTTTTTTTGTATTTTTTGTAGAGATGGGGTTTCACCATGTTGCCCAGGCTGGTCTTGAACCCCTGGGCTCAAGCAATCTGCCTGCCTTGGCCTTCCAAAGTGTTGGGATTATAGGTGTGAGCCACCATGCCCAGCTGACTGTTTTCTTTTTTTTTGAGACGGAGTTTTGCTCTTGTTGCTCAGGCTGGAGTGCAATGGTGTGATCTCGGCTCACCACAATCTCTGCCTCCCAGGTTCAAGCAATTCTCCTGCCTCAGCCTTCCCAAGTAGCTGGGATTACAGGCATGTGCCACCATGCCTGGCTAATTTTGTATGTTTAGTAGAGACCGAGTTTCTCCATGTTGGCCAGGCTGATCTCAAACTGCCGACCTCAGGTGACCCACCTGCCTCAACCTCCCAAAGTGCTGGGATTACAGGCGTGAGCCATCGCCCCCAGTCGACTGTTTTCTTAAATCAGAATTTTACGTTATCATTTTTTCTGATCTGTGCTAGATCCTTGTTATCTCTAATGAGAGATTTTTGGAAATAGTGAAATGTGATCATTTTCAGTTTTGCGAATTAATTTCTTGAAGAAGTCGTCTTATTAATGTTGCAAACACATTGTGGAGCCTGTGAGTAGCTCCCTGTTGATAACAGCTATAACTATATCTGCTCTCCTTCTGATGTGGTGTTAGTGGAAACTGTGTGTGTGAATCTGAGAGACAGACATATACACACACATATGTATACATATAGCTATCATTTCTCTAGGTACTTCACATAGGCACACTTACCTTAACTGATTCAGCACACAGGTTTAGGTGACTAAGAAATGGCTAAGAGCTATCAAAGTTAACACTGGATAATTTATTTGCCCTGTTCTAGAACATGGATCTGTGTGACACATTACCCCCAGATAAATGACTTACCTGTACTAAATGATAAAATCTGGGCTGTGCTGGTAGTGAGAAAATGAAACATGGTGATTATATATAGACTTTGAATCAGCACCCGTTTTCTAGTTTTTGCCTCTAGCCACCCCCCAAGCTTAGTGGTGTGACACAACAGCCATCTGATTATGCTCACAGGTGCCACAGGTCAGGAATTCGGTCAGGGCACAGCAGGGATGACCTGTCTTTGCTCCGTTGTCTGGGGCTGGCCTGGAAGACTCAAGTGTCTGGAAAGATTGAGATAGCTGATGGTTGGGATCACCTGGAGGCTTTTCCACTCGTCACCTAGGCTGGGGTGACTTGGAGCCAGCCTCAGCTGAGGCTGTTGACCAGAGCACCTTCATGCATGTATCTTTTCCATGTGGCTTAGGCTCCTCATAACATCGTGACTGGGTACCCAGAAAGAACGCTTCAGAGAGCAAGCATTCCAAAGAACCTGGCGGAAACCTCATGACCTTTTCTGACCTGTTGTTAACAAGCAGGTCACTAAGGCCATCCCAGATTGAAGGGGTGGGGAACTAGATTCCACCTCCCCAGTGGAGGCATGTCAAAGAATTTGTAGCCTTTTTTGGTTTGTTTGGTTTTTTTTTTTTTTTTTGACATGGAGTCTCATAAAAGGGGGAAGTACCATGCTCTTTTAAACAACCAGATCTTGGGAGAACTCAGAGCGAGAACTCACTCATTACCCAAGAATGGCAGCAAGGCCTTCATGAGGGATCCTTCCCATGATCTACACACACACCTCCCACCAGGCCCCACCTCCGTCGCTGGGGATCACATTCCATCCTGAGATGTGGAGAGGACAAACATCCAGACCATGTCAGTGAATGTATTACTTTTATCATGAAAACTTTGTTATTGTTGGGATTCCAGAGTACATTAAGCACCTGGTATTGAAAGTAAGGCTTAAACACATACATAGACAGTATGTGGTTGCTTATTGTTAAATGTTTTCATCTTTTTGTGTGAAGAAATGTTGCTCTTTGGTGAGAGTACAGAGCCTTCAGAAAAGCTGCAGCATGCAAGGGAAGGTGAGATCCAGTTTCCACACGACTTTGTGAGCGAAGACTCCTTTCCCCTTCCTCCCAACTTTTTCCACATTTCTCCTCCAGTTTCTATCCTTTTCCCAAGGAAGAACAGGACATATGACTAGGTTGACCGATATTGCAAGGCAACTTCACTAGGATTCCAGGTGAGGTAATAATGAATGGGAATTGTGCTGCCAGGTTGCCTGTACCTGGAGTGGGAATACTGAGTTAGCATAGGCCAGGGAGTAGAAAAAATGAGGCCTAGGAAATTCTGGTAAATTCCACTAGACATTTGAAATTCTGACTTTTACTTTACACATCACTAATCCATGTCCACTAACGGAAATTTAGCTGTAATATCTACGTACGAGTCAAGGCAAAATGTTTGACCAAATCAACTAAAATTATGCTTTTCCATTTTCCAGAGCTGTGCTTTGATGTATTTTATTTCTGTCCAAAGGTGTAGTTAATAATAACATGCATAGCACCCAGCTTAGTGTGTGACATCTAGGATCCTTTCAGTAAATTTATTGAATGACTGAATGAATGCATGCATGATTGGAAATACCAGAAAATCAGTGGGTTCTTCAAGTACTTTATTGTAACATTGCTTGAATAGTTGAATGTTGAGCCAGAATGACCAAATTATGGAACCAAATTAACTAGATAGGTATATTTTAATAGATAAATTTTTAAATAATGTCAGAACACTTTATAGAGTTTTATACTTCTTTGTTTTGAAAGGAACTGGGCCCATGCAGGCAGCTACTGATACAGGAGAAAAAAGACTACCCTGAGCAGATTGACGTTTAATTAAAACTAGGTTTGGCTCATTTGAATTAATTCCAGTAATAGACTTGTTAATGAAGTGTTAAATGATCACCTTGAGAATACCAGGGAACTGTCAAAAACTAAGAGAACTGAGATACTTAAAAAAGACATTCCAGGACAGTGCGGTGGTACATGCCTGGAGTCCCAGCTACTCGGGAGGCTGAGGCGGGAGGATCGCTTGAGCCCAAGAGTCCTGGGCTATAGCACACTCTGCCAGAGACATGTCTGCACCAAGTTCAGCCATCAGTATGATGACCTCCCGAAAGTAGGGTACTACCAGGTTGCCTAAGGAGGGGTGAATTGGCCCAGATTGGAAATGGAACAGGTTAAAACTTCCCCTGCTGATCAGTAGGGGGATTACGCCTGTGAATAGCCACTGCACTCCAGCCTGGGCAACATAGTGAGACCTTGTCTCTTTGGGGAAAAAAGAAAAAAGCTTTCCAAGATTCCCGTGCTGAAGGGTTAGAAGTGTTGAAAAAACGCAGCCTTTCCAGGAGGGGGTCATAGAGACTTCCCTGCCTGTCTTCGGGGCTGACAGCTTTTAACTCTCCCAGCAAGCACCATGCTTCCTGAGCCTAGGAAGTTTTGGGTATTGACTTTCTTCTTTGTTGTGCTTTAAAGTAATTTATTTCACTATTAGAAATTCATCGGAATGAAAATTAAGTTTTCTGGTAAGCACAGTTTTGTTCTTACCCACAGTATAGTTTAGCGGTTTATCTGATGCCACGAATCAGACTAGATTCCTCCTGTTCTGTGACTTCCTGCCTAGAATGCTGTTGTTTGGGGGGAAAAAAAAAAAACTT